CCGGCCTGCCGGCCTGCCTCCCAAACCGCATTCCCGCCCCTGCAGTGGGCGCTGAGTGCCGGGGAGGGGCACACGCCGCTCCGAGCCTTGAGAGCAAAGCACAGAGAGCTACAAAAATAAGATTTCCACCCGGAGAAGTGTGTCTGGAACGGTCAAACCACGTCCCACACTGGACTCAAGGGGAACACGGGAGAAGAAAAAAATCACTGGGGTGGGTGGGGTGGGGGCTAGGGCGGCCACCAAGGGAACTCGGGGCTGACAGAAAGAAGCATAATACTTGACTCGCCGGCAATGCCCCGCAGCATGGCCGCGAGCTCCCGAACGTCCAGCCCTCCGACAGCTCGGCGAGGTAGGTGAGGGGCAGCGTTTCTAGCTTCCCAGGCTGCCCCAAGGCGGGCGGCGGGCGGCTCTGCCAGGGAGCTGGGGCGGCGGCCGAGCCCCGTCCTGCTCAGGCTCCGCCAGCCTACACTGTCACTCTCGGGGGACAAGTCTCTGCATTTAAGGATTTGCATACGCTAGATAGGATTGTCAGCAGCTCAAGAGGTCCTGGGGGTAATTGGACTAGAAAAAGTATTTTTCCCTGAAAAGGCCTTCTCACAAGACCTGTGGACAGCCTGGACCCTGCCCCAGGTTGTCCTGCGGGTGGGTGCCACGAGGACCCCAGGCTGAGCCCGAGGGCCTGCTCTGGGGCCACACGGCTCCCTTTCCCAAGGTTGCCCACAGTCCATTCCCCTCCCAGGCCAGGGGAGGGTCTGACCCTCCCAAGGCTCCTTCCCGGTACAGGGCCCACACTCCGCTCTGGGCACCACGCAGGAGTCCCCCCGCCGCCCACCCACACACATGGTGAGAGGCAGAAAGTTCTGGAAAGAGAGCTCTGGTCATGACAACAGATTCCCTTCTTCAGATGGGCTGGGGCCGCATGGCCATGGCGAGGGCTGTTCAGCTTCTTCGCCCTCAAGGCACGGGGCTCAGACGTCTCTTCCTGGCCTGTGGGGTGGGGCCTGCCGGGTTCGGGAGCAAGGACGAGCTGGGGGCCAGGCCATGTGTGGGGCTGGTTCCCTGCGCCCTTCCCTTTACTGTTAATACTTGTGCAGAAGGCCGGGCTCTCCTGGGAAGAAAAGGCAACATCAGTGCCTGGGACCCAGGCCACTCTCTTCTGGAAGCTTTGTGTTTTTGTAGAAATGACCCCAGTATGGCCTGCATGAAAACACAGAGAGCAAATAGGACCCTGGGGACAAGGGAAGGCCAGAGAGAGCCCCCGCTGCCAAGAACCGCTCTGCCTGACACTCGCCTGAGGGGAGCCTGGGCCGCACGCTGCCCGCGTCTGGCCTCTGGGTAAGGACTGTGTGCACACGCCGGGCGGGGAAAGGGGTTCAGCCCTCCTGGCACCGCAGCCCAAGCAGCAGGGGAACCCCACACGGCCCCGGGCGGTAGGCCTGGGGGGGCCACACCGGGTTGCACTTTTGCCTTGAGAACCAGAGTTCCGGCACCTCCACAGACACTCTTGTTCGGAGTGAAGAAAAGGCAGTGTGAACGGCTGCCGATGTCCATGGAAAAACGATTAGTTCTTTGCTCAAGTAAAAAAATATCAAATATAACAAATTTATGAAAGCCCACTCACAACATCTACAGTCTCAGTTTTGTATTTCTCCTCCGCAGCTGGGACGGTGTTGCTTTTCAGAGCCCCGGGGGTTGGCGTGGCCGGGCCGGCGTGGGCGGGGCCTCCAGCGACAGGCCACCCTGCACGGTCAGCTCGGCCGCCCGCTTCTGGCCGTCGGCGTGGGCGCCACAGAACTCTGCCTTGTCGGTCCGCGGGGCTGAGGCCCATCTCTCATAGCCTGAGGCCGAAGCAAGGAAGGGCCCGCAGGTGCCGGCTTGTGGCTGCAGTCACTCTGACTATGCTGCCCCAGGCTGCCCCTCAGTGCGTCCTGGCCAGCCGGGCTGGCGCTCACACGATGGACTCGCGGTCCCTGTCTGGGGACGGGGGGACGTCGGCGAGATCCTCGCTGCGGCTGTAGTCGGACACCCGCACCTGGGGGTTATCGCTGGTGGCCCTGGTGACGCTGTCATAGGAGGGCGGGAAGGACGTGGAGGAGACAGAGGAGCTGGAGGGCGGGTCACGGCGCCGGGAGAAGTTCTCATTCATCATGTAGGCGATGAGGCCCTCCTGCTCCGGGGCATCCTCATCAGAGAGGCCGCTGCTGCCTGCCTGCTGGCGGAAGAGGAAGGAGGCGTGCTTCATGGAGCGCTGCAGCAGGTGCCTCCGGAAGGCCCGCTGGATGACGGTGGCCGACACCTCCTCGTGCTTGCGCCGGAGCGTGGTGGTGATGGGCTCGTAGGAGATCTTGGACGGGTTGGCCGCCATGAACTTCTCCTCCATCTGGATCTTCAGGGCGTCCATCTCCCCAGACTCACCCAGGACCCTCTTGGTGAAGGCAAAGAGGATGTCCATGCAGTGGATACGGTCCCCGCTCACCATGGGCAGGTCCATATTGATGAGGCTTATCTGGTTGGGCTTGGCGATGCGGAGAGGCTCGGACAGGGCATCGGCGAAGTCGGACAGGGCCGAATACTCGATGAACTGGGTGGCTTCCGGGTCGAACTTCTCCCAGATCTCATAGAACATGTCGAAGTCATCCTCGCTCAGAGGCTCAGTGCTCTCCTCTGTGGCCACGCTGAAGTTCTCCAAGATGATGGCAATGTACATGTTGACCACGATGAGGAAGGAGATGATGATGTACGTGGTGAAGAAGAGGATGCCCACGGCTGGGCTCCCACAGTTCCCCCGGGAGCCATTGTTGTTGGGCAGATTGGGGTCACAGTAAGGGGGTCCTGTGTTGAGGATGGGGCTGAGGAGGCCATCCCAGCCAGCTGATGTGGTGATCTGGAAGAGGCACAGCATGCTGTTGGCGAAGGTCTGGAAGTTGAACATGTCGTCGATGCCAGCCTCCCACTTGACGTAAGCGAAGTTGGCCATGCCGAAGATGGAGTAGATGAACATGACGAGGAAGAGCAGCAGTCCTATGTTGAAGAGGGCGGGCAGGGACATCATGAGGGCAAAGAGCAGTGTGCGGATCCCCTTGGCCCCTCGGATCAGCCTGAGGATGCGGCCGATTCGGGCCAGACGGATGACTCGGAAGAGCGTTGGGGAGAAGAAGTACTTCTGGATGATGTCTGAGAGCACAGTACCTATGGGAAACAACAGAGACCGTGGCTGCCCAAGCCCTTCTGTCCTCCCTCTAGCCCCGTATCACTGGATGGGTCTCTGTACGGCAAGGAGCTAAGGAGAGGAGGCCCTTTCAGGAGGACTGGGTCAACCGGGGCATGCAAGGACCCTGTGTCCTCCCACCCCTCTGGGTCTCCATTTTCATCTTTGATCCAGAAAATGAAGACCCACAGTACCCACACCTTTTGCAAAGTGTCTTTCCAGACCTCTCATCCCTTAGTCTTCTGAGAATACCTGCACAGTAGGGCCCATCTTCTAGATCCTGGGTTCTGAGGCCTCAAGGGACTTGCTCAGCATCTGGGTGGCCTAGCTTGGACCAGAACTTGGGCTTTTCAGCTCCTCATTACTCAAAGTGTGGCCCGAAGGCCAGCAGCCCTGGGCTCTCCTGGGCTGGTTATCAGAAATGTGGACTCTAAGTTTCACCCCCAGTCCCACTGCATTTTCATAAGCCCAGATGATTCACGTGCTCACTGAAGGGCAAGAAGCACTGGCCCACAAGTCCGTGTTCTCCACCATGCCACGCCTGTCACAACTAAGCCTCTCTGAGATCATTCCTGTCACCCTCCCAACCCTGCTAGCTTCTGGGGCTTCCCACCCCTTGGTCTCTATTGACAACTCCGGGTTTGGAGTTTTAAGAAGCAGGCATATAAGTTATAGGAGAAAGAGTGAAATAAACCGTGCTATGTATTGGCCCAAGTGACCTTTCCAGACTCCTCATGTAAGCATGTCACCAGCTGTCATGTGTCATGTTTACTGTCAATAAGCCACTGGGCTGAGCATTTTATATCCATCCATTTAGCCCTTCCGGTCACCCGAGGAGGTAAGCGGATACCATCATCCTCATTTTCCAGAAGAGGAAACTGAGAAGTGAGGTAACTGACCCAAGCTGTCACCTCATCAGTGAGACTTTGGGATTTGACTCAGACCCTCTGGCTCCAAGTCGAGCTCTTAACCAACCCTCTCTAGTACGGCCAGGCACCAGGACCAGTAGGTGCTCCCGAGGTACATGCTGCACCTCCTTCCAAATCTTCCTGACACTGCCCCTCATCAGCCCCTCATGGCTGCTGACATCCTGCATTCTCTAAAGCCTCTCTCCAGTTCCACCGGGCATGCACACCCTCACCCCTGTCTGGGACCTCCCACAGCATTTCCTGACCCTGCGTCCAGCTTTGGACCATCTGTCTGTCACCGTAGCTACGGCAGCCCCTGCCTCTGCCTGCCCCCGCATTTCCCTCTGAAGTCACCGAATGCACAGGTTGTATGTACAAGTCAGCCACCCCACGGCAGAGTTTCACGGGGGAGGGGGTCAGGAGTTTGTTGCTGAGCACAAGTAACAAAAGAAAAAAAATACTGATAAATTGGGACTTAATCAGAACAAAAAACTTTGTGCTTTGAGAGACAGCAACCAAGAAAGTAACAAGACAACCCACAGAATGGGAGAAAATATTTGCAAATTGTGTATCAGATAAGGGACTGGTGTCCAGAATATATAAAGAACTCTTACCATTCAACAATAAAAACACAAGTAAGCCAATTAAAAAATAAGCAAAGGATTTGAATAGACATTTCTCCAAGACATTTCTCCTGTTATAGACCAAGGCATATCATGGGACGTGACCAATAAGCACATGAAAAGATGCTTAGCATCATTAGTCATTAGAGAAATGCAAACCAAAATCTCAACGAGATGATCACTTCATACCTGCCAGGGTGGCTATGTAAAAAATTATAGACAGTAACAAGTGTTGGTGGGGAACGCGGAGTCACTGGAACCCTTCTACATTGATGGTGGGACTATAGAATGGTGCACCTGTTTTGGAAAACAGTTTGGCCGTCTCTCAAAATTTTAGATGAGTGGTTTCCAGGGGTTGGGGAGAGGGAAAATGGGGGAATGACTGCTAAAAGGATGCAGAGTTTCTTTTGGGGGTGAGGGAAAGAGTCTAAGATGAGGTGTAATGGTGATGGTTGCAAACTCTGTGAAAATACTAGCAACTACTAAATCATAAACTTTAAAGGGTAAATCTTATGGCATGTGAATTGTATCTCAATAAAATTGCTATTTAAAAAAAGGAGACCCCTGGATGGCTCAGTCAGTTAAGCGTCTGACCCTTGATTTCGGCTCAGGTCATGATCTCAGAGTTGGGAGAGGGAGCCCCATGTTGGGCTCTGCACTGAGCATGGAGCCTGCTTAAGATTCTCTCCTCTCCCTCTGCCCCTCCCCGCTCCCTGCTCTCACGCTCGATCTGTAAATAAAAAAATAAATAAAATAAGAAAAATAAGAGGGTTTGAGCCCTGAGGTCAAACAGACGTGGATATGTGCTATGGTTGGAATGTTTGAATCTCCCACCAAATTCATATGTTGAAATCCCAACTCCCAAAGATGATGATGTTAGGAGGTGACACCTTTGGGAGGTGCTCTGAGTGAATGAGTGGGATCAGTGCCTTGTAAAAGAGACCCCAGAGAGCTCCCTTGCCCCTTCCACTTTGTGAGGACACAGCCAAGAGGGTGCTGGTTATGAACAAGGGAAAGGACCCTCACCAGAAGACATGACCATGCTAGTGTCTCAATCTTGGACTTTCAGCATCCAGAACTGTGAGAAATGAATTTCTGGTGTTTATGAGTTACCCAGTCTGGTGTTTGGTTATAGCAGCCTGAACAGACGGAGTGTGAATCCTATCTCTTCTTTTCCTAGTTGTATGATCTCCTCACCTCAATGTAGACTTTAAAAGGTCAATTGCCTGAGGCGAGTGATATCTGAAGGAATCTGGCACACAACCTTGGTGGCTAGACTCTAGAATTTTCCATCTCCAGGGACCACTTCTATCCTAGAGGGCCACCTGTTCCCATCCCTGGAGACTCACCTCACCCTGAGAAAGCCTCTTCTTCCTTTAACCTTTCCCTTGGGAGGGCAGGGAAGCCTGCCCAGGCCCCAATCCCTTTTCCAGATTCATCCTTGAAGCTCTCACAGAGAGCAGAGAGCTGTGTCCTAGGGTCCCATGGAGGGGTTGCTGGCTCCTCTGCCAGGATGGCCCCCCTGGCCTGAGTGGGCCTTCCTAGACAAGTTCTCTGTGGAGGGTGTATGTGTGTGTGTGTGTGTGTGTGTGTGTGTGTGTGTGAGTGTGTGAGGGGAGAGGTGTGGAATGCAGAGAAAAGAACAGAGGAGCCTAGTACGCTTGGCATTAAGTACAGACCCAGGACTGGAGGAAAGGCCGACTTGCATACCCACCCACAATGGAGAGGATGACAACCACAAAGTCGAAGATGTTCCAGCTGTTGGTGAAGTAATAGTGGCGCAGGGCGGCCATCTTGATGATACATTCGCCCGTGAAGATGGCTACAAAGAGCAGGTTGATCTTGGCCAAGATGTTGACCTTCTCGGGGCTCTGGTCATCTGTCTCCACCATCATGGTCACCATGTTCAAGCAGATGAGGAACATGATGGTGACGTCGAAGGCCTGCTTGGTCACAATGTCGAACAGGAAGCCCTGGTACTTGTTCTGAAAGGAGGGGCCAAGGATGGGCTCAGCAGGGGCCTCAGACAGGCCTGTTGCTGCCCCTCGGCCCAGACCATCCACCCTGCTACTCCACCCTCTAGTGAGACTGTCGGGGTGAGAGGAGAAGTCAGGAGGCTGAAACAGCCTGGCTCTCTTCCATCCAGGCCTGGCCCTCCAGCTCCCTCTTCCCTGAAGTCTTCTCTGAACCTTCAGGAAGGGATTTCTCCTACCCAGAGCTTCCCTAGCACATCATCGTTCTCTTTTTGTTTCCATTGTCTGATGGCTCAGGGTCAAATTTAAAGTTCAACCCTAGTAATTGGATCAGTCCTCAGGTTAACAAATTTTCTCCATCCTTTATGGAATTGATTTTGTTTATTCTATTAACTATATTTATGTGTCTTTAGTTGTTAGCCACCTCAGATTATTTGGGGAAAGAGAAAAAATTATAAATAAGTGAACACACACGCACATACACCACTAACCTAGTACAAAGCGTGGTGAAAGGGTAGGAATTAGATAAAACTGATGAACTGGATTAAAAATCTGGGACTGTCACTTCCTAGCTAGTGATTTGGGTTATGTCACCTAATTGAGTACTGACCCCCTTCCCACTTTTTTGGAGAATGGCTTGGTCAGGCAAGGGAGTCAGCCCCGCAGGGGACTGAGTGTCCCTCCTGGCGCCATCTGCCAGGGGACTCCGGCTGCGTCTGTCCCGCTCAGGGGTTGCCAGGAAGAGGCTGTGAATGGGGGTGGTGGGCCTGCAGAAGCTGCCCTGCTCTCGCTGGGAAAGGCTGCACTCTGACAGTGGAGGAGGGTGTATTCAGAGGAAAGGGACTCCTGCAGGAGGGAGCGCTCCTGGTTGGAACAGCCCCCCATGCCTTCCTCACTTTCTCCAGGAGGCTGAGGCCTCTGTGTGTGGTCAGGTGCCTGACAGCGCCCCTCCATCCCTGCACTGACTGAGGGCCCTGGGCCAAGCTGAATGATTTTTTTTGGAATTAAATTTCAGGAGCGTTTTATGTTCTTTCATTCTTTTACATTAAATACTATCAGATTAAAAATGCCAAAATGAAAATGCTCATATGAAAATATTGTATATCATATTTTAAAGAATATCGACTTTTCACAGCCCTATTTTCAACGCTTCCTCATTCTCTTTGAGTGGATCAATGCATATTAAGTATTCTTTGTGGTCTTCCTGGCACTTTTTCTAGCCTTTTGGGTTCAAACCCCACTCCTGACATTGGCAAACTGTGGTGCCATAAAGAAAAGATAAGCAAGATGTCAAAACATGTGTTATTTTCCTTAATACATTCTTGGAGCAATTTTCCCAAACTTTGCAAATTTCCATTTTCTATAATGTAAAACTGCTTCCAGTGATATCATCCTATAAAAACCCTATTGATTAATGAATTTGAAAAGTACATATTTCAGAATTATTCTTATTAAGGAAACAGACAATTCTGAGTGGGCAATTTGGGCAAGCTCACTTAGGCTTTCATTGGAAAATTCAGTGGTCCTGGGGTGTGGGGCTTCCCAGGCCCCCCAGCACATCCCCTCCACTCTTGCTGAATCGGGAGCTGGCTCACCAGAGGCCTCGGGATGGGCTTCTGGGGCTTCTTGGAGCCCAGCTTCTTCATGGCGTTGTAGTACTTCTTCTGCTCCTCGGTCATGAAGATGTCCTGGCCCCCTAAGTGCAGAGAGACAGGCACCAGACTCATTTTGGGGTTCTCGAGGGCTCTGGCATGGGGGGCATAGGGATCTTGCCTCCTTGATGAGGGTGCCTTGGCCAGCCTCCTCCTCACTTCCTCTTCCAGTGGAGATAAGTATGTCCCTATCCTGCACCAGAGAGTCCTCCCCAAATCTGCTTCTGCAGGGTCCCTGTCTCCCTTCACTTTGAGGCCTCTGTGGCTTTGTGAGGTGCAAATCCAGTCCCCCTGCCCAGCTCAGCCACCCTGCACGTTCTCTCTGCCTAGTTGGTTTGCCTGCAACCCAATCATGGCCCAACTGATGGAGCTCTGGAGAGACCCTGGGCCAGTCTCGATTGTGGACCAGGTGAGTAGTCCCAACCCTCAGCCCAGCTCCTCTCAGGAACCTCATGGGTCAGGTAGACTAGGGCAGGCACGGGGCCCCTCCTTCCACTCTTACAGACTGCTCCTGTTACTTCACAGACATGCCCCTCTCCCACCCATTCCAGCAGCGGCCAGAAGAGAACTGTCCCCAGCAGGAAGGCAAAATGGGGCCAGGGGCCAGAATGGCTCCTCAGTCCCCTGCTACCCAGCCCTGCCCTGCCGGCCTGTGGCGAGCAGGTGCTCTACGCATCTTTTTCTTCTGTTGGTTGAAGTTGTCGATGATGACACCGATGAAAAGGTTCAGGGTGAAGAAAGACCCGAAGATGATGAAAATGACGAAGTAGATGTACATGTAGAGGTTGTATTCCCACTGGGGCTGCTCTTCATACTGAGGGGGAGAAACCAGATATAGGGGTCAGGCAGGCAGGAACGGGGGAGGGCTGGCTGGGCGAGAGGGTGTGTGGGGAGGGAGGTCACCAGCACAGGGCTGTATGTCTGTGTGTGCATGTGTGTGCAGAGCGGGGCCAGGGCGGGCGGGAATGGGGTTCAGAAGAGTGGCAGCTTGGGGCTGACACTGTGATTGGGTGGGGTACAAGGACAAAGAAGAAACTTGATTTGCATCTCTATGGCCTCCACCCGGTCTCTTCTCCAGTAAGACTAAGATTCAAGTAAATTACAGTGAGGTTAATTTGAAAGATATTTGAGGATTTGTGGCTCCTTGGGAGATCACGCAACTTTGCCCAGGGCCAGGCCTGGGCCTTCCAGAGAGGCTCAACTGCAGGCTGACACAAGAGACCTGGCCCTTATGGGGTGGGCTTTTGGGTATGGACACTGATGCCCTAGTGGCCAAGCATCCTGGAGCCTCAGGTGCCTGACTTGGCAGGAGAGGCCAGTATGGTTACCTACCCCCCTGGAGTCCACAGCTGCATACATAATGTCCATCCAGCCTTTAAATGTTGCCTTGAAGGAAAAGACAAGAGTAAGAATCATTTAACTTGCATCTGTTAAACTACTGGGGGGCTCCTATCCGGACAGATGAGGCCAGGAAATAGCCTCCTAGGAGAAGCAAGGATCCTGCCCCGCCCCTTCAGCCATGTCCACATGGCTGGGTGGTCAAGGAAAGGCCTTCTTGTTCAGGGCTCGAGGTGGAGTGGAGGCTGGCTGAGCACACACCCTAAGGAGGCCATGGGGTGGGGTAAGAAGCTTCTCGATGTTGGCCAGGAGACTGAGGAGGACTGAAGGAGGTCTGCCTTTCAGATCCACCTTCATTCCAGGTTCTAAAACGATGCAGTCCTGCAGCAGGTGTCAGGGACAGAGAGGTGGACCCCAGTGCTGACCTGGTCCCCTTTATCATGCACCTTGGAGAAGCCCATGGTTTCTGCTCTGCGGCCTCTCAGGATGGCCCTGAAGCATCCCAACCTCCCCTCGTACTTAAGGGGGTCCTTTTGCCAGCCGTGTGTTGGTAAATGGCTAACAAACGGTTTTCCAGAAGAAAACAAAGCCCTGATTGTTGTGTTTGCCAATTTCTCTGGGTAAACAAATTGGTGAATTGGGTAAACTACTCCTACCACGGCCAATTTCAAGTTACCAACGGGCTGTTACTGAACACAGACTTGGGAAGAGACACATAGGAGGGGAGCATTACAGTATTTCCACTGTACGGATACAGCACATATAAATTACCTCAAGAGCATACACGAAAATAGGTGGTAATGATGAATTTTGATTTAAAAAAAATTTCTTTTCAAGTAATCTCTACACCCAACATGGGCTCGAACCCACAATCCTGAGAGCAATAGTGGCATGCTTCACTGACTGAGCTGGCCAGGCATCCACGATTTTGTTTTAATATCACCTGGTGAATTATAAGTTTATAAAATCTGATTTTTAATCATGGCTTGCAAAATATCTGACAATGCAACAATCAGCTCTCGTGAGCCTGCCAGCCCAAGGCGGTAGACGAGGAGGCCGAATGCCACAGGCTCTGGTGCTGGCTGCTCTGTCCGCCCCAGTCTGGGCTGCTACAGAGATTCTGGAAGAGCCCGAGAGACATGCTTGGTGGTGAGGCCGACTGTCCAAGGGGGTCTCACTTGTGTTCTTGGCAAAAGCCAATCCTGCCCTGAGCCTCCTTTCAGGGTACAACTGTCCACACAAACTTTCATGTCTGAAAGTTCTTCTGACACAGGCAGGGCAGATGGGGAAACTGAGGCTGTCCCAGAGTATGCTACTTCAGTTCCCTGAGCCAGGAAGCCCTGCCCGGTGCCGGGAGGGCTGGGCATGCTCTGGAAACTGCTGGAGAGCACCCAAGGTGACGAGATGCTTGTGACTGCTTTTCTGGCCACTGTGTCGTTCTGTCTGGAATGGCCTTTCCTTCCAAGTTCTGACATTTAGAGGGAAGTCCCAGGGACAGAAGGCTCTAATCTTGTTCTGTAGGAGGTATTTCAGGGGAGTCTTTGGAGAAAGCTACCCCTGGGATTGAAGGGAGGGCTGGAGGAGCGAGCAGATGTGCATTAAGTTTTCAGATGAGAGCCCACCGAGTGTTCCTCTGCTTTGGGGACTAGAGACAGGTCTCTGGGCTAAGCCTGGGGTAGTAAGTGAAGCAGGTTATGGTTCTCGGTGTTATGAGTCTGTCTGCATGCCTGCTGTCAAGCTACTTGTATGTATGCCAGGTATCATGCTCACTGAAGCCACCGTCCTCAAAAATCAATGGAAGCCTTGGAAGGACTGGGTAGGGTCATGTGTGTTTCAACATCTCGCACATCAGAAACAACACAGAAGGTGTTACTACTTTTTATAACAGAAGGCTGGAGTCACAGTGTGGCTAATAGTTCAGTGTCTGCGTGTCTCTGGTCTTTGATTATTAACCTGCGTCATCACACTGCCAAACTGATAGCGTGAGGCTGTCAACCTGACCGCTGGCCAGGGAGCTGGGTCTGCCTCAGGGCTGAACCCCCATGCCATGCGTCTTGGAGAATGTGGCACCTGTTCTAGAATGGAAAATCTAGGGACTTCCCCAGGAGCCAAGAAGTCTCTGGAGAATCCCTAGCCTCCTTTGGGCAGTGAGTACCCAGAGGGGCCCCACTGTCCCCCTCCCGCCCACACTGTGGGTGAAGATGCCTGTTGCTGGGGAGCCAGTGGGAGTCTCCAGGACTTACCACCTGCAGAAGGGCCAGGTACCCGGCCCCCACGTTGTCAAAGTTGACTTTCACCTTGGTCCAGTACAATTCGCCAGTCACGTTGAAAGACTCACAGTCACTCTTGTTGTTCACGATGGTGTAGTTCAAAGGCAGGTCTCCGTCAGTCTGGTTGATGCACCGCCCAAACTTCCCCGCAAAGAGGTTCACGCCCATGATGCTGAAGATGAGCCAGAAGATGAGGCAGACGAGGAGGACATTCATGATGGATGGGATGGCGCCCACCAGGGCATTGACCACAACCTCAAGTGGACAGAGAAGAGGCTCCGTTCCTGGGGGTGCCCAGAGCATAATGCCCTTTTCAAGACCCACCTAGCCATGCCCCCCTTTCCCCCACTAAACTCTTTGCCTACAGGTCCCTGTGGGGGGGGGGTAGTGGAACACTTCCTGTCCACCCCTGGCTGGAAGCCCTGATGGGGAATAAAAGGAGAGATGATGGGGAGTCGGGGGAGGGGGGAGAGAACACACACACACATGCCCTTTTTGTTGTTTTTGCACGCTAATGTCTGCTGCAACTCCGGAACCTCTGCCTTTGTCTTCTGGTCCTGCCCTGAATTCATGACCTTCAAACTGAATTTTCAACAGGGTCTCTCTAGTTAAGTGTGCCAGCAATCGGAGGGGAAAGGGCCTCTGGAGACACATTCTCTGAGCTAAGCTTCTGGTTTATTTTGGGGTTGCTGCTACTAGGGAGGATGGGTGTTCTCCCTAAAGGATGCCCAAGGGACCTCGGCGTGCGGTGTCTGGCGGGTACCCTGGCAGCTCTCCAACACTGCAGTGAGAGCTGAGCTGGGAGGGCAGGGGGTGTGGTGTGGGGGCTCCCTGTGCCTCTGCCCTCCCCAGGAGCGGCTCTCTGACCCCGTGGAGCCCTGGCATTGGTCTTGTCATCGAAATTCAGGGCACCCCGGAGAGGCTTCTTGGCAAACGCATATGGTGCGCTCTACTCCGCTGAGGGCCAAGTGTCCAGCTGTCCGGGAGTCAGGACTGGAAGTGAGGCTGGTGTGGGGCCGCGTGGTGAGCATGGTGCTGGGACGGGTAATGCTGACACATGCAGGCGACAGGGGCTCCCTGGTCCCCAGCAGGCATGATGAACAGGGTGGGACACCTAACTCTCAGGTTTGCCCTTGGCTGGCTCCGTGGTGACAGCCCCAACAGAGGCAGTCCTGGCAACTTGCATCTCCCCCACGGCCCTCGGGAATCAAATGCCCTTAATCCCAAGAGACATTTAACTTAGGTAGGATGGTTCACTTGTGAATGCTTTCCCACCAGGAATAAGCCACTTGTTCCTCTCATGGAGGTGTGGGCAAAGTTTGAAACCATCAACAAAATGGGGGCCACGGGATGGTGCCTGCTGGGTCAGCGAGACACACAGGCGTGGCTGCTGAAGCCACGGCAGAACTGCGCACATTTGTAAGAAACACAAAACACACGTGCGCTCAAATGCACATATGTGTTTGTTTTCTTGCTATATATTATGGGGTAATGTTTTTTCTTGGTTGGGCTTTTATTTTATTTTTAAATATTTTACTCATTTATTTGACAGAGAGAGAGAGTGAGCACAAGCAGGGGGAGTGGGAGAGGGAGACGGAGAAGCAAGCTCCCGGCTGAGCAGGGAGCCTGACATGGGGCTCGATTCCAGGACCCTGGGATCATGACCTGAGCTGAGGGCAGATGCTTAACTGACTGAGCCATCCAGGCACCTTGGTGGGGCTTTTAAAGTTGCCTTATATGCACATATTCTTTGGTAAAATTTGATGACTTGAAAAATGCATAGGGCTCTGCACTTAGAAATCAGTGCAAAAGAGTTTGCTAAGCAAATGCCAACCGCTACAAGATGGTGAGGATATGCTGCTCCCTCCTTGCTTCCTTCACCTTGACCGGCACAGCCCTACGGCCCATCGCAGATCGAGGAAGGCAGCCCACGTCTGCCAGGAGGAGGGCATGCAGGTGGGCACATGGACGCAGAGCGCACACACAGATGGCCCCCCACCCCGGAGCAGAAGCAGAGAGGCTCCCCGGCCCATGGGACAGGCAGTGACAAGCCCAGGGGGCTCTCACAGCTCTCCACCCTCTGGGTGCCTGTGAGCCCAGCTGCACCTCTCCTGGAGATTTTGCCCCGTGCTCCTACCAGGCTGGGCGGCCACAGTCCCAGCTCCGGACTGGGCTGCTCGGTCAGCAAGCAGAGCCGGGGGTCTCTCAGTGGAGTCCCCTCCCACTGCCCTGGCAGGAAGGCAGTCATTCCCCTTACCCTCATGCCCTCAAATCGTGACAGGGCTCGCAGGGGTCGGAGTGCACGCAAGGTCCGCAGTGACTTGATGGGGCCCATCTCGGCAAAGCCCAGGGTGTTGGCCACCAGGCTGATCAGGGAGACCTGTAGGAAGTAAGGGGGGAGTGAGCTCCATGGGGACAGCTCTAGAGATGGGTGGTAGGGCTCCCGGCCCACCTGAAGCTGAGCTGGTGTGAGAGAGCCAGCAGGCTTTCCCCGTGTTCAATCTTTGTTATTTCCGGCTACATCATCTTCGCGGCCGTCACGCACTGGGCTGGCCTTCCTGGGGCCCAAGAGGCTGGGGGTGAGACAAGTTCTTTGCCAAGAGCCTGCTATGTGCACCCACTAACCCGAGGACTTGGGATGCATTCTCCCTATTCTACAGAGAGAAAACCGAGTTCCTACGCCAGCCACTGTGTGGAGGAGTGAGCACACAGAGCCTGGGCCTTTGGTTCCCACAGGCCTTCCTTCAAGTCAAGTTCTTGGACCTGCTCCTTCCCTCCCCCAAAGAAGGCTCTTTTTGGGAAGGAAGGACTATCCTGGGCTGACTGGGAGCCGACAGGCCATCCTGGGGCTTTTCCCCAAAGCCGGACTGTGCAACATCGGACATCTTCGAAGAGGGGAGGTGTAAGCGGAGACTGCACGGCCCAGCGACGAGGTCTGGCCACTCTGCCCACCTAGCTCCCAGCGGTGCACCCCCATCGTCTGTGATTTCAAAGCTTGTGCACCTGCCAGCTCAGAGCTCTTCCATCTCAGCTGACGGCAGCCCCATCCTACCAGCTGCTCAGGCCACAAGCCTTGGCGTCATCCCTGCCTCCTCTCCATCTCTCACACCCTACATCCAACCCGGCAGGATTTCCTGTTGGCTCTGCCTTCAAAATACATCAGAAGTCCAAATATTTCTCACCACTGCCACTGCCATCATCCCGGCCAGGCCCCGTCCTCTCTTCCCTGGACGGCCGCCACGGCCTCCTGACTCCTCTGCCTGCCTCCACGTGGGACCCACCCCCCACCCCCTGTGCTCCTCCAGGAACAGAGTCACTTCATGCCACTCTTCTGCTCAGAGTGTCGTAGTGCCTTCCCACTTGGCTCTAAATAAAAGCCCCTGGTTTTCCAAGGCGGCACCCCCCTCTGCCCCCTGTAGCCCCGCCTCATCTCCTGCACTTCCCTTCCCCACTCACTCTGCTCCAGCCACTCCCGCTTCCTTGCAGTTCCTTAAGTATGCCAGGCATGCTCCCACCACAGGACCTTTGCACTGCTGTTCCAACCTCTGCGTGGAAGGTTCTGCAGACGTCTGCCTGGCTAACCCCAACTTCCTTCACATTTGCTCCAATGGCCTCTCAGTGAACCCACCCCGGGCAGCCTATTTAAAGTTGTAATCTATACCTTCCCCTTGCTGGACTCCTGGCCCTCCTGATCCCCTTTTGTTCTCCGCATCCTATTTCTCACTGGTACACATCAGCTTCTAACAGAGTACACAGCTGGCTTATTGAATACGTTTATTGTTTGTGGTTGCCTTCCTCCATGCAGCCAGAGGTTTTAGTCTATTTTGTTCCCTGAGATCCCTAGCACCTACAATAGTAGATACTCAATAGTATTTATTGAAAAATAGAATGCAGGAATTGATCCTGGAAATATCCTTCTCCAGACCCTGAGGCCTGAAGACCACCTTTCCCATGAAGTGAGGGGATGGGATGGGGGGCAGCATGGCCAGCATCAGGAAAGCTGGAGTCCAGCCTCCTCGACCTTGGGGCAAGTCCCCTCTCTGCTGTGAGCCTCCGTTTCCTTCTCCACAGGCTAATTCTCCAGTTCTGGGACTGGACGGGAAGCACCGATGGTCTCCTTCGCCCGGCCTCAGCCCTGAGTTCCCCAAGGTGGCAGGCTGGTGGGCTTCCCCAGGAGTCTTTGCAAACCCCCTCCTGCCTTCCCCGAGGGGAGACGCTCAACAGGCCCAACTTCCCAAGAAGCTGCAGGAATAGCCGGGTGAGGGGCCTCAGGGCAGAGCTGCCAGGATCCCAGGCCCTCCCACAGCCTCAGGGCAGGAGGCCTCCCGGGTCCTCTCCTCCTCTCAGAGAGGCTCTGAGGACTCCAGGCTCTAAGAGCGACTAGACCTCCCTCGCATTCTCTCTCTGCCACCCTAGCATCCCTCACCCCAACATTAGCATCCTCTCAGTCACTGGGGGTGATAGAAAGAGGCTGGAACCAGAGGCCCAAGGACCTGGATCTGTGTCTCCACACAGATCTCCATGCATGTCTCCTCCCATGGTCACCCACGGGCTGACCTCCCACCCAGGTGCGCCCCTCCCTCCCTTTGGCCTCTGAGTGGGGTGTGGGGTATGGGGACTGAACAGAGGCCTGAACCTCTTGTGCCACCACAGGAAGGACAGCCCCTGCTGGTGGGCAGAGCCTGAGGCCAGGCTCGGAAGCCACGGGTGCCGTCTGGAAAGCCCTTCCCGGTCTGCAGATGCTGACCCACATTCCATTCTGCAGGACCCTCCACAACCAGATGGTGAGCCTCCCCTGAGCCCTTCGTCTCTGCCTGTCCCCCCCTCCCCCTTCAGTGAGTGCAGATCCAAGGCGGCTCCACACTCTGGTCTCATTTTCCCTTCTGGTTACTCTCCCACTCAGCTGTGCTCACCCTGCTTGGCACCCAGCAGGGTCCTGGGGCCTGGGTGGCTGTGGGCCAGAGGCCTCCTCCTCTATCTGCCAACTGGGTGCTCAGAGGACATGCCACCTCCTGTCCTAGACCCTCCCTGGACAGGCAGGGCAGCTGTGCCTGCTACCCGATCGTCCAGGGCTGCAACCCAAGGCCCCTCAGCCGGCCCTCATGGCTTTCTGCCTTCTCACAGGTGGCTGCACCCCTCTCTCATCCTCCCCAAGTGGTACCTTCTCCCTGAGCCCGGAGGATCCTCCCCCTGCCGACCCAGAATCCCTTCACCGACACCGTCCCCTCTGGCCTTGGGCTCACCCTCTCCCCTGTACAGACAGCCTCCTACCATGTGTGGACACAGAGGCTCTTAGCTGGCCACCTGGCTAGTGGGCCTGACGGACCCTTCACAACACGCGTGGTGGGCTATTGTGTTCCCTGGCTTCTGGCCATCCTGACGGGGCGGTGAGCATGCGGGGCACTCCTGCTTGGACTGCTCCCCATTCTGCCCCGTAGTGAGTCTAGTCTCCCCAGAAGCCGAGGTCTCCCCCTGCTCCTCTGTCTCCCAAAATTGGGGTTCTGATGGCCAGACCCAGGTTCCTATTCCTCCCAGACTGGGAACCTTATGGGCAGGGCCTGGAGCTCCGCTGTGACCCGAGATGACTGTGACCCGAGACGGTTGCCTCCTTCCCCTCTGCCAGCTCTGCGGCCCCGCTGAGTGCCTTCACGTCAGCCTGCTGACTCCCACCCGCCCTGTCACCCTGTCCTTCCGTGCCTCTGCTTCAGCTCCTTCCCATACTGGCAGCCCCTCTCCCCGCCCCTCTTCCCTCCTGGGCCTCACTCACATCCACGATGAGGAAGTCCAGCCAGCACCAGGCGTTGGTGAAGTATTTCTTAAAGCCGTAGGCCACCCACTTGAGCAGCATCTCCAGCACGAAGACGTAGGTGAACATCTTGTCGGCATATTCGAGCAGAACCTTGATAGTCTTCCGCTCCTCCAGGTAGATGTCCTCGAAGGCCTACAGATCAGGCCAGACAAGGGGGACATGACGTCCCAACCACTGCCCATCCCACGCCTCACGAGACTTCATCTCTGACAGCAGGTGCTGCCCAGGAGGGCGGGAGCAGAGGTGAAGCCTATGGTGGAGGGGCCCCTCTGAGGTCACACTGGACTAGAACTGCACGCTCTCCTGGCTCATGAAACGATCTCATGTGGTATGTGGACAACAAAGCACAGCGTGTAGTGAGAATGCTTCACGCTGAAGAGTGAGGCTTAGTTCTGAGCTCGTGTGTCTCTAACGCCTTCCTAAACCTTGCTGATCCCCCATGTTAACACAGAGTGTGTGCGGGCGCAGCTCAGGGTCTTCTGCTGAAAACCCCATCAACCCTCTTTTTGGTGTTCTCATTCCACTGTGTTTTTACTCTATTTGCTTGATGCAGTTACCTACTTTTCATAGGACACAAAATTGGTGTCCAATGATAACAATCATTACAAGTCTCCCTTTACAATGTGTTTATGGAAACACACAGAAACCAGGGAGAGTTGATCTAAAGCAAAATCTCCAGTAAATGCTAGTGAAGGCTGTTTGTCAGTGAGAAGTTTGGAAAATGCAAGACTAGGTATCCTGGGGATCCCAAAGCTCCTGCGACCCTCAGAATCCAGGAGTCAAGTTTCTAACATGCTAGAAGGGGTCTTTCTCCACCTCCTTGTTTCTGCCTCAACCCGAATTCCTGGGCCAACGGAGGAACTCTGCCAGCTCCCGGGTGCCCTCTTATACCTCCTGTCCTGATCTGTACCCAGGCCTCTCAAGCCACCTCTCCCCGTCCACAGTGTGCTCAGAGGCTCCCCCGCTAGGCAACTGAACATGTCACCAGGGGCCTGGGGGAGTCGCCTCTGCCTGTCACTATGGGCCTCCCTGCCGGGCCCGCGTGAGCCACGGGGGCCCGGGTGGCCAGTGCCGTCAGCCCCGATGTGCACTGTCCAAGCATATATGTGGCTAATCCAGTCAGTATAGACAGCACGGCAGGATAATTTAGGTCCTAAAACGGACTCTGGGAGTTGTTCAAGACAAAAAGTAGGTGGTTTGTTGTTATTGTTTCTGATTATAAAAATGTGTGCTTCCCACAAAAAATTAAGTAATATAGAAATTATAAAAAAGAACAGAACGCACCTCTGATTTCATGACATTATAGTAACCACTGCTAACATTTAGGGGAAGACTCTTTTTGACACTCACTATTTGTGTGTGTACACATACGAGTACACAATTTTCTAAGATAGACTAAATATTTTGCTTTTAAATTTCTTTTCCACTAAACAATCTTTTGAGTGTTTATCTACTCTATAATGTGAACACATCCTATATCTAGTATTCTTTTAAAAGGCTGCATAATATTTTATTATTTGCATATACTTTTGTGTATTTAGCCAAAACTCCTATTAATGAACATTTCAGTTGTTTCCAATTTAACCCTAGTAGAAACAACCCTGCAGTGAACAATGTGTCTGATTATCTGTTCAGGATAAATTTCTAGAATTGGGGTGCCAGGTCAAAGGTGTACTTTGGGTACAAATTGGGAACAGGATTTCTGGCAGGGGACACGGACTCCCTCCGTAGTGCATGAAGTTGACTCTTTCCTCATCGCTCCCCTGACTGTGGTGGGGTTTCTCCCTTGTCACTTTTCCCAGTCTAAGGAATGAAAGTTGTATTTTGTTAGATTTTAATGTATTTTATTACTAGTAATGCTGACATCATTTCCTCGGATATTTGCAGTGTTCCTTTTGAGAGTTGCCTGTGCATCTTTTTTGTGTATTTTTTTTTTTTTTACTTGAGTATCTGGTTTATTCAGAGATGTTAACTCCTTGTTCTATACACTTCATCCTAGTTCTGTGCCTTTAAATCTTTTTTACTTTTTCCATTGACAGATGAATGGATAAAGAAGATGTGTATGTACATACAACGGAGTATTACTCAGCCATCAGAAAGAATGAAATCTTGCCATTTGCAATGGCATGGATGGAGCTAGAGAGTATTACACTAACTGAAATAAGTCGGTCAGAGAAAGACAAATACCAAATGATTTCACTCATTTGTGGAATTTAAGAACCAAAACAGATGAACATGGGGGAAAAAAGGAGAGGCAAACCAGGGAACAGACTCTTAACTATAGAGAACTAACTGAGGATCGATGGAGGGAGGTGGGTGGGGGATGGGCTAAATGGGTGATGGGTATGAAGGAGGGCACTTGTGATGAGCACTGGGTGTTGTATGTAAGTGACGAATCACTAAACTCTACTTCTGAACCTAATATTACACTGTATGTTAACTAACTGGAATTTAAATAAAAACTTGAAAAAGAAAACAAAATAAATAAATTCAACCTATAAAAAAATCTTGTTTACTTTTGTTTACCATACTGAAGTTCCACACTTTATTTTCATTTATTATTAAATCATTTAATATAATTATATCATTTATTATCATTTTCACCTAGTAAAACCTTCAGTGTCATGTTAAGAAAGCCCTTACCTAGTTTAAGGCAAGGGGGAAAAAATGACGCTTCTTTTCTTCTTTTATTTTTTCTTTTGAACTTTCTGGCTTCGTTATTTTATATTACAATTTTAAAAATCCAATATATTTTGGTAAAGAGCAAATATCCATTTTAATATTTTTTTCAGAGTAGCTTGTCACTGTTACAACACTTTATTAAAGAATCCACTTCAAATCCATAGATTAGAAGTCAACTTTATCATCTAAACTACATTTTTATGCTTTATTAAATCTACTGGACCTCTCTGTGTGATTTTACTGCTCTCTATTCCTGAATTACTATCATATGAATTCTCCTGGCCATTTTTAGTAATTTTCAAGATAAAATTTAGCAATGTTTTGTCAAATTCCCTTTAAAAATGTTGCAAATTTATTGTAATTGCATTGAATTTATTAACTGCATTAGGATCTCATAGGAGTCTTCCTACCCAAGACTAGAGTACATTTATAGTATATTTATTGGTCTGTCTTCTTTCACAGTGCTTAGCAAAGTTTTAGCGTTTTTTGCATGTACCTCTTACACATCTCATGTCATATTTATTCCCAGTTACTTTGTGTTTACAGTGTCTGGCAAATAAGGACTATTCCAGAAATGTTACTTATGACTAAACGCTTTCTGTTGTATAAAACAACCATAACAACAATTCTTCGGGTATTTATTTTATAACTGGCCACATAATATTTTTAATAGGTTTTAAAATTTTTCAAGCAATCATTATCTACAAGTAATGTTACATTTATATTTATTTTTATTATTTTAACTGATTTTATACTTGACTCTATTAACTTCAATTCTTCTATTTTCCAATTTTTACTTTGTAAGTTTATCTTTCTTGGTTAATTACACTGGTTAGTATTTTAAGATCATTATTCAATAATGGAACAACAGCTAAAAAGGAGTTAAATCATCCTTTTCTTACTCCTGACTTTCACAAAAATGTTTCAAGTGTTTTACTACTAATGATGATAAAAGAAGTTAATCTGAGAATACATTTTTCACTAAATTAAGGAAATATATTTTATTTTTATTCTTGCTAGAGTTTTAAAAATCAGGCATTCATTGAGATAACTGTATGTTTTTTCATCTCTGTCCTATTCGTATACATAGATTTCCTAGTATGGCACCATTCTGCCATTTTAGAATATATATTAAATGCTTATTTAATTTTTAAAATATATCATTGGTTCTTATTTGCATGGATTTAGGATTCTTGCAACACTATTCATAAGTATGGAGTACAAAAACGAACCTATGGTTTTATTACTGGTATACTTGAGGTTTTAAAAATCAGCATTATTTAGCTTGCATGAAAATGATGTGTAGATTTTCTGGGTTTCTTCATACACTAGAATATTTTAAACAGGACTGGAATTATTTTCTTCCTTAGGAATGCAAAAGAACCCATCCTTGGAGATGTGACAGATCAGATTAGCTACTGGTTTATCTATTTTATTGTTTTAATTTTTCAAGGAATCAGCTTTGGAATTTCATATCAGTTTTATTACTTATTTCTAATTGATTAATTTGTTTTAAAAATTTTACTCATTATTTCCTTATTGTCCTTAAGATTATTTTGTTGCTACATTTGTAATTTCTTGAGTTTAATTGGTTCACCTTCTTTCTATTTAATAATAGAAGTGTTGGGGGGCGGGGCAAGATGGTGGAGGAGTAGGAGACCTGGATTTCGTCTCCTCTCAGGAATTCAGCTGGATAGGGATCAAACCATTCTGAACACCTACAAACTCAACAGGAGAT